CTCCCAAAGATGCGCTAGGTCTTATTTTCAGGGGAGGTCTTATTTTTCCTGGAGCTTCGGGGCCTAATATTCCGGGGTGGCCTTATTATTCTGGAGGTCTTATTTTCGGGGGATGCCTTATATTACAGCGAGAGGAAAAACTGGAAGTAGGTCTTATTTTCGGGGGATGTCTTACTTTCGGGGAAACACGGTATACCTTTCCACGTAGCCCCCATTAACACCTACATAAATAGAAGTGTAGACGGTGAGGCATGTCTTAGCCAAGTAAAGACATGTCTGATGGTGTTGGTATGTACATGTACATACCCTACATGGCTCTCTACTTGCCCATAGCCTAAGCCATGCTTCCATGTCTACCCTGCTATTTTTAGCAATGTAGTGTCCTGCTGCTGGAGTCTTTCCCCGGGAAAGATTCCAGCAGTGGGAAAAGGCTCTGGCAGGGAAAAGATAGTGCAGAAAGACCCTGGCAGCTCCCTGCTGTCTGGAGCCATTCACCACCATTTAGAAAAAGACTCCAGCAGAAGTGTGTGAGACGAAATGTTAGCAGTGCCTTTCCTTGCTGTTGGGAGTCCTTTCCCACCATGGGGAAAGCCTCCGGCAGCAGGGAGGGAAGGCACAGTGAAAGGCTTTGGCAGAAGGGAGCTCCTGACCCCTTTCCCCACTGAAACATGTAGCTACACAACACAGCATGGATGCACTGTGCTCTTCACTACGGTATGTAGCTACACATACACTACATGACCCCAGAAGTGGTGTATAGCTTAGATGTAGCCCTAGTTGAACTTTATACTCTTCAAAGCTAGAATTATTTTATCATTCCTAAAAAATTTTAAATCATAGGCAAAAGAGAATCAAACATGCAATAAGCTGTCAAGTGCATCAGTAGTAGCTTGGTTTGTTTTTTAAGCTGCAAGGTCAGCAACTATACTGATGGATCATCTCTACTTATGGCTAAAGTCAGTAGCATACATTTGCTAGTGTTTATCTGCAAAAATTTACATCAAGTAGTTTATTCACAGTAATCACCATTTATCAAGCTTCATAAGCCAGGCTAACAAAAACTCAAATGCCAATGTGGAAATTTTTAGAAAACAGATTTAGCCTAGACTGCAGTCTGCATAATGAAGCTGTTCTGTCAACATAAGCTAAACCTGTTTTCAAGTTACCTAGAAGAGAAAACAGTCAAGATTGAAGGTTGTTTTATCACACTGTAGATTGAGTTTGCTTATTTTGACAAGTAAAGAATCTAAGTTTAGAATATCTTTGATTCCTCTTAAAAATAGAAGTTAAACAAATTCATACATATTAAAATAAGTCATAAGTGAAAGCCATGCACACGTCTTTGCTGAGCAACCACATTATTTGACCACTTTATCATCTCTTCCACACTTCCTTATTTTCTGGTTTGGCCATATGCAATAATTTTATTGTTAAGTGCTTCAGGACAGAAATATTTGGGCATTTTACACAGACTAAGATTTCCAGCACTATTTTGGGCATTGGAAGAGACAAAAAAGTGCACTATTTTATCTTTAGAGTTTACTTTTGTCTTGTATGTATCTAGAAAGAAGTTTCCTCTACACTACTTCCTATAAGTTTATTACTTTTTTTAAAATGGAGGAAAAAAGTCTTATGAAGAATCTTGCTTCCCTAACTGCATTTGGAAACGTGAACTTTTTACCTTTCCAAGTTTCCAGTTGGAATCAGTACCAATTTAGGATGCAAGATTTTAAATTGGCAGGGAAAAAAAAAAAAAAAAAAAAAAACACAAACCTAGATTAGGGCAAGCTCCTTTACTAGAGTTTGTTTTAAAAAAAAAAAAATATGTATGTTGAGTCCTACTAAATACATTTATGCCAAAATGTTTGCTTAACAAAAGGGAAACTAGTTTTTAAATTCTAGCTTTACTATTCTCTTGGTTTCTCACCATTATAGTATTTCAACCTTGACAGCAGATTCCTGAAAAATGCAACAGTAAAAGCATTCCTCCCAGAGCATGATGGACTTGGAAGCCAAAGGTCCACCACACTTACTGCCTAGCATAGTGGCTCTCAAGCTGCCACTTGGTGCTGCCTTTATCAATATACGAAATATCCATTTTCAAGAAAGTAATTATTCCTGTTTGTTGAAGCCAAGTCCAGATTTGGGGGTTCCATAAGACCTTCTGATCATCTTAAAACCTCTCAACACAGTGCACAATTTAGGCCTTTATCATGGGCTTTAATGTATATTCAATTATGATCAAATTTGTTGATGACACCAAAGCTGGAGACACAACATGACACAAAATGACAGAACCAAACAGCAAAGTGAACCAGTGGTGGGGGGAGTAAGGCAGAGGAAATCACTGAAGGCTGCAGCCCAACAAGGGGAGATTTGCTACTATAAGTGACAAATTTTATATGCATTTAAAGCTGGCTAATATTTTCCAACACAATATTTTTTCTAGTGCAAACAAAGCCACATGCACATGAACACACAATCTCATTCAAGAATCTTGCCCTCCTTAAAAGATTCGCCTTCCCCCTCCCCAAAACTTATCTTGTCAAACTCAGCTCTGAGGGGAGATTTTTAATTTACACATCCACAATACATAGAATCATAGAATATTAGAGTTGGAAGGGACCTCAGGAGGACCAATCCCCAGACAGATTTTTGCCCTAGATCCCTAAATATCCCCGTCAAAGACTGAACTCACAACCCTGGGTTTAGCAGGTCAATGCTCAAACCACTGAGCTATTCCTCCCCCCATGAACAGGACTCTCACATATTTTAAGATATTGAGGATGTTGGGGTCTAGTGGATTCAGCACAGGAAGTCCTAATCTCAGAGCTCTAATATTAGCTATGTCATTAAGGGTATGTCTACATAGCAAATGGTGGTGTGACAGGCATATCCACACTCGTTTTAATCTAGTAGCCCACTTAGCAATAATAGTGAGGAAGTGGCAGCACAAACTTCAGTGCAGGTTAGCTGCCCAAGTACAAACCAGGGATCTGAGGTACTACTTTGGTTGCTAGCCCACATTGCCACATCTTCACTACTATTGCGGTTAATTTGCTGTGTAGACATACCCAAGGCCATACAATGAGTTAGGGTACATCAAAACTTTTCTATGCCTCCATTTCCCCATTTGTAAACTGGGGAAACTTCCTGCCTTACAAAGCTGCTGAACATGACTGTTTATGCAGCACTTTACATTGTCAAAGTTTCATTTTAAGTACTTTGGTGGCAATATCACAAAAATAAGTACAAAAACTAAATTAATGTTAACTTGGATATTTTTATTGCATAAATCAGAATATTCTAAATACAAGTATGGTTACAGTCACTCTTCTGAAGACAGCGACAAAGAGTCCTGTGGTACCATATAGACTGAGGGAGGGATAGCTCAGTGGTTTGAGCATTGGCCTGCTAAACCCAGGGTTGTGAGTTCAATCCTTGAGGGGGCCACTTAGGGATCTGGGGCAAAAATCAGTACTTGGTCCTGCTAGTGAAGGCAGGGGGCTGGACTCGATGACCTTTCAAGGTCCCTTCCAGTTCTAGGAGATGGGATATCTCCATTAATTTAATTTTAACAGACGTACTGGAGCATAAGCTTTCATGGGTGAATACCCACTTTGTCAGATGAATGTGACGAAGTGGATATTCACCCACAAAAGCTTATGCTCCAATACATCTGTTAGTCTATAAGGTGCCACAGGACTGTCGCTTTTTACGGATCCAGACTAACACGGCTACCCCTCTGATACTCTTCTGAAGATGTGATACAGAATTTCAGCAAGCAAGTTTTCTTAAGTAGGTGTTTTTTTTTTTTTGGTTTTTTTTGGGGGGGGGGGGGGGGGAAGCAAGCTATTCCTTCTCCTCTAAACAATGGTTACTTCTTGTTCTAAGACAATAGGACCCACCCATTGTCAAAATCAGCAAATTCAATTGTAGTTTCCCGCAAATGCTTACAACATAGCAGAGGCCATTTCCACACCACTGTCTACTGCAGATTATTTCAAAAAGCACTGCACTGATTTCATTATTTTTCCATGCCGTAACTACATTACTGAAGCTGGAACCTAGATGTTTAACTGAGGCCTAACTGAAATGCCAGTCTCACATGTGTCCACCTTCTACAGATGTCCCAATGAAATATCACCCCTGAACTCAAGAGTTGTCTCTGACCCAGCTATCTGTCCTTCCACTGAGAGCTGAAGTTCCAGGAACTGTTCCAGGAACTTCAGGTTAACAGTCTTTGCTCGGTTTTGCTTTACCAGCCTCTCTCACTGGTTCTGGATTAAACTTCAGGACCCCGTTAAAACGCAGGAATTGCCATGCCAAACCCGATGATTCATCGAACCCAATATCCTGTCTGAAACCGTGGCCTAGCCAACACCGGGAAAATGACTGTTAAACCGTGGGGAGTTCACTGTGATTAGTGCACATGATCAAGCACAGCCCTGATCGCCTTCATCATCCTCGCCAGTGCCAGTGGAGGTGCGATTCCGGTCTATCGGACTGGGCAGTTGTTGGCTGAAAGGTGCAATTGCTGCCCAGCAGATAACTGGGTTCCAGGGCTGCGCGCTGCTGCAGCACCGTTATGATAAAGGCCAGCACATGTCAGGAGCAAACCAGGGACTCCGGGAGAGCCCGAGCGAAGCCGAGCAAGGCGCCCGAGCTGCTCGGTACGTGCCCAGGCCGCATGGCAGCCAGGCCCTCCGGGCGCTCGCCGCGTACGCCTCAGGCTCCACCCGCTCGGGCACGGCTCTCCAGCACAGGCCACCCGGCGCTGAGGCCGGAGGGGAGCGGGACTGGGGAGGGGGAGGCGCCAGCCCGCAAGGTTGCTGCGGCGTGTACACAGAGCAGGGGACGAGAAGGACCCAGCTCCCTCAGGCCGGCGGGAGAGGTGAACGGCCCCAGCTCCCGCAGGCCAGAATCTGCAGCCCTCCCCGCCCCGCGGGGAACGGGCAGCAGGTTCCCCGGCCCCTCGGGGGGGGGTCTCCGGCTCTCACCCTTGACTTTGCCGAAGGTGCCCACGCCCAGCGTGTCCCCCAGGATGTAGTGCCCGATCTTCACCCGCCCGTGATCATGTTTCTGTTTATCCGCCGCCGCCATCTTGAGCCAGGAGCCGAGTCTGCGCATAGCGATAGCCCAGAGAGCTACAGGGGCTCCGGGGAGGAGCAAACACACAGCGCCCGCCCGCACCGAAACCCGGAAGCGGACCCACGGCCGGACACCAGTCGCTTATCTCCTTCCGCAGGGGCAAACCACTTTGCCTTTCCGGGGTGGTTCTGGAATCATCTAACTGTGCACCTGGCGGGGGCGTGGCGCAGGTGGGCAGCTGTAGGGCTCGCGCGGCGGGGGGGTTCTGAGACGTGTTTCCCGGGCTGCTGCTCCGTCCTGGTCCTGTAGTTGCCCACGGCTGGGACATTCAAGGGGACAGATGGGGGAGGAGAAAAGGGTGCCCATCTCAGACAACCACCGTTCCCTGCCACCTTGCAAAGGTGAGTCTACAGGTGGGGGGAAAGCTGAATGAAAGGGGGCAGTCACTGGAAGGTCTGGAGTGAGGAAGGCAGGGTGTTAAGTTGTGATGTTAAATTATAACAGGCTTGATGAAGCCTCTCTTTTAAGTGCACATGTTCCCAGCCCAATTAGTGTTGCCGGCTGGCAGTTCCTTCAGGAAACCAGCATCTCCAGAAAATTAAAAAGCTCGCACTAAATCGTACCAGATTTCAGGGCCACCTGGTCTCCTTAGTAATGCCAGAGTGGGGAGATATTGCACATACTGTGTACTTATAATAAAAATGCTGTGAGAGAATGCACCATTTTTCATGTATGAATAAAATGTTACCACTGTAGGTTCAGTGATGAGTATCGTTAGACTGCCATCAGAGTGGGATTTCCTATGGACTGCGACCTGGTCAGTTGTACAATTTTGCAGAGAGGGAATCTGCCGCTGTAAATAGTCAAGTGACTTTTTAAATGTCAAGTTTTAGTATTGGGGGCCAGGCTTCTTCTGGAGAATACCTGCAAGTTTCTACTGATGCTAAATGAAGCTGCCTGCATCCTAATCATGTTTGAGATGCCAGTAACATAAAAACTATGCTGTATTTTTCACTTCCAGGAACCATTCAAGATATTGGTTAATTACTTTGCACTTAAATATGTACCCATCCCTGGTTCTGGCCATATACATCACGTTTAAGCATCAAAATTAAGAAATAAAATTAACAAAGTCAATGCAAAGAGACCCCCATTCCTGAATAAATAAAACTCCCCCTGTTCTAGCTTTGTTAAAGAAATGACCTGAGAAAAATGCTACTCTTAGAAAGATATACACATGTGCTTAACTTCGACTTGAGTAGTCCCACTGAAGGGACTAAAGGTCAACAAACAGGTTATTGGGCCAACTGAGGGAGAGGATTCTAGAGGCAGGGAACCTCTGCTGACCATCCTTGCCTCCAGAGTTCAACTGAGGAACCATGGAAGGAGAGAAGCACTCTATAAGGTAGTGAGCACCAAAACCTTATGGGGCTTTAGAAATTAAAACCTACACCTGAACTGTTCCTAAAAAAAACATTAGCTAATACAAAGAGGAATGTCTTATGAGCTCAAAGTACAGAATAAAATGACCCACGAATAGACCTGGGAAGTCACTGCATTTTTAATGACACCTATAAATTCAGTCTTTCACTTGGTACCCCACCCCAACCTTTTCATCCTCATTTTAAATCATTTGGGAAGTTGAGTGAAATTTTTAGCTGTTTTGAACGTGTCCATGCGCAGTTCAGATCCTGTTGCGGGAATAAAAACAAAAAGATAGGGGAGTCAGCCATCCCTATCAGCTAACCTAGAAGAGCCCTAACTCCTCCTACCACAATGATAAGCACCCTGATCCCCCAACTGGTCCTACTGACAAATTGCATCAGCACTGCTTGCAGAAGAGAAGGAAACATTGTATTGAACCCAGATATTACAGCACTTCCTCTTTTCTTGAATACAATGCTGTACACAAGTGAGACTGGTGTGCTCTCCTCTCCCAGCCCCTGCATCCAGTCTCCACTGAAGACTAGATTCTACTACTCTTACTGATTTCAGTGAGCCCGCTTCTGGAATAATCTGCTACTCAGTTAGAGTAAGAATGGCCACACCTGGCCCTGAAGGAGGAAGAGAAATTGGCAAAGAAGAGGAGAAAAGGAAAAAGCTTTGGTTGCTGCTTCTTTGTTATGGTGGTAGGGCGACATAAGTTATAATCTATAAAGCCATTAAAAGTCTATGTCCCAGCTACCTGTGGGACTGCCTCTCTCCCTGTGTCACATTGTAGTGACTAAGGTATAATCTATACTAGAAGAAGTTTGCTTACCAAGATACACTGGCTAAAGCATTTTTTTCCATTATAGGCAAATAGACAAGGGCTTTTGCTGATTTTTTTTTTTTAAACAACAAACACCCCTAAACTAACGTTACAAATACTGTCAAAGGTTACTAGTGTAGCCGGGAGCGCCGCCAGCTTTTCTGCAGCCCTAGGCGGCGGAAGGTCCCGCCCCGAAATGTCGCCCCCCACAGAGGCGGCGGAAGGTCCTGCCGCCGAAATACCGCCGCGGTCGCCGCCCCCCAAATTGTAGTGCCCTAGGCGACCGCCTAGGTCGCCTAATGGGTTGCGCCGGCCCTGAGTGTAGCCCTGGCATAAGTTGACCTTGAGGGTTCCTGTTGTCAGATCCTAGAACATATCCACAACTAGCAGCAAGGTGTTCTCAGTTAAAGCACCTTATAAAAAGAATATGCTTACTGCAGGACACCAGAAGCAAATTAGGCAATTTTTATTTAGTCAGGCCTTCAACTCACAATTGATGGTCACAGTGAAGAGTGCTTTAGCATGGATTTGTTTGACTGACGAAATGTCTGAAGTCAATGGCTCCAGAAACTGTAGTACTGTACATATGCATTTGCATAAATTTAACTGTAGTTAGGTGCACAGATGCTACATATTGATAGACACTGAACATGTTTAAATAGATAATTAAAATATAAAAACACTGTCAAGATTATTAATTTAAATACTCAAAAATTATATTAATCTTCAATTTGACTCACTGCACAACCTGTATAATTATATATTTAAGATCATAAACAGAGCTCATTAGAAAATGGAATTTTTGTTGCGCAGGAAATTATGACACTTTGAAATTTCCTTCCTGTCCAATTCAGGACAAAAGTAAAAAATTTAGAAATTTACCACAGAACAAAAATTCTGAAGTATTTTATGTGGGAAGCATCAAAATGACATCTAAATACACCTCTACCCCGATATAACGTGACCCGATATAACACGAATTCGGATATAACGCGGTAAAGCAGCGCTCCGGGGGGGGCGGGGCTGCGCACTCCAGTGGATCAAAGCAAGTTCAATATAACGCAGTTTCACCTATAATGCAGTAAGATTTTTTGGCTCCCAAGGACAGCGTTATATCGGGGTAGAGGTTTATTTTGTTTAGATAATGTCAACGTTTTGTTTCAATAACACTGAAACAATATAAATAAAAATGATATAAACATTGAATAGAATATTAAAATAAGCTTTTAAAAATAAAAAATAGTCTAAATGAAACACAGTTGGAATAAAAAAAGTCAAAACTAAATGAGAGACTAAATGAAATCTCCTTTTGAATTTGAATCATATTGAATTTTTTTGTCAACACTTTCCTGCAAAATGTTTAGATTTTGATGAAACAGCATTTTCTAAGGAAAAGCTGGTCAAAATTTTTTAACAAACAGTATCTTCACTTACGCTTTTAATAATTCATACAGGAATAGGATGTACAACATTTGTTCAATGTGTTCTAAGTAAATACTATGAAAACGTTAACTTTTTTCCTTTCCTGAAATTTGTTACTGTAACAATATGTGGGTGCCTGCAAGATGTTATCCAGTGAGAAGTCATCATCCACCTCTCTGGCTTAATTTATAGTATGTTATAGTTTTTATAAGATCTGTATCACAGTTATTGAACTTGTAGACTTTAAAAGGTTTTTTGGCTTCACTAGTAGAGTTGAAAGCTCCACAGTTTGTTCTTGAAATGATTATCAACTCCCTGGTGAAAGGCACTCTTCTGTAGAGATCATTAATCTTGCAAGAGAATCTGTTTCTGCATCTGTTAAAGAATATTTCTTACATTACACTCCTCCTACCTAAATATTAAATACAATAATTTAAAACCGATTCCAAAGCCTATTGAAGACTCCCATTTACTTCAGTAGGTTTTGGATCAGCCCTTAGTGCAGAAATTAGAAATTAAGATTGTGCATGTTTTATTTCTTGTAAATATCATAAAGGTTTTTAGTCTTTAAATTTCAAACATTAAAATCAGCATTTTAATATTTATCTGACACTTGACTGTATCCTTAGCCCTGTCTTTGTAAAATTGTGATGGGGTCACAAGTAGAAACTTGTCTAATCTGGGGATATTTTTTTTTAAAAAGCTCCTTTAGATGAACAAGCCCGACTAGAAACTCTAAGCCACAGGAGAGAGAAACAGTGGCTACTGAAAAGAAGAATTACACTTGTGTGAAACTGACAGCAGAATTTGACTCAAAATGCATAGCATGTTAACCAATCACCTGTATATTTTTAAATTAAACAGGAATTTGGAGTGAATTTAATAAAGCAGTTGCTAACATCTACAGCAACTGACCTCTTGAAGTCAAAATGAAACCTTAGAAGGCACAATCTCCTGTCTACAGGAAATACAGGCAGTGTGTAATAAAAGCTAATGTGAAGAAAGTATTGGATAGAGTAACTGAAGACAAATCCTAATTTTATTTTCTAATATGTCTACATTTTTGTGGCCAGCCTTAGCTAGAATAATAATAATAAATTGTGATGCTATTGTTTCAGACTATAAAGTGGCTGCTAGCTGAGGTCAGGAATATATTTTTCTCCTCTGATATTGTACAGTAGACAAAGTGCATTGGGTTTTGGTTTTTGTTTTTTAACCTTCCTGTGAATCATCTGGTATGCTACTCAGAGGATCATTGGTCTCATAGCATGGAGGCTGTTATGGACTATCCACGTCTGAACTGATCTTCAGTACCTTCAGCATGTTTACACTATGTTTATATTTATTATACATTTAGGATTATTTC